ATGAAGATCTTTTTCTTCTTTGAAGAAGAGATGGTTCATCATTAGTTCCTTCATCAACAAGGACCATAGTTGCTGGTCCAGCTGGAGATTCTTTTGTCGAAGGCTCCTCCCGAGTCTCGATTGTTGTGGTACATTTTCTATTTGGTTTCTCGTTTTTGGGTTGGGGACTCCGGGGGGAGGTACCTTTACCGGAATCAAGAGTGGCTTCTCGATCTCTCTTCCGGCCAAGGACATTTTGCAATGCTTGTTGGGCTTCCTCTGGGTCATCGAGAACCTCTATTGGGGGGGGGGGATGGAAAATCATTTTGGAAGACCTATGTAATGTGCAAAAGAGTCAACAAATTTATCTTGAATCATGTCAAAAAGTGAAAGAAGGAAGGAAGAGCTTTTACTTACCATGATTTTTTACTTTCCGCTTAAATCTGAGAGATATTTCTTTCCACCTTCGAGAATCCGGTGTAGAAATATCCAAAAAAATTTGTACCCATTGGGCTAGGTTCTTAACTTGTGGTGGTTCCTAATGAGTAGCTGGAATAAGGAAAGTAAAAAGTCAACAAAGGAGGAAAGTCTTTTAAAATACAGTAAGGGAAAGATACCCGAAGACTTACGAAAGAGATTCCAAGCTTCAGAAATGGGAAGAGATATTGCCGGGAGAATGTCCCTGGTAGCAATGACAACGAATCGTTTCATCCATCCATGATCGTTATCATCATCAACGCTGGTAAGGATGGCATGGTGGCCGCGTTTGCTGAGTTTTAGCACACCTTCACGAAAAATATTTGGGGAATAAGGTTTGATCAAGTATGCAAGAGTTAGGGTTTCCCCGTTCTCGGAACACAGCTTTCGAAGACAAGCCACCGTATGCCATACTGATGGACTTACTTGAGTCAAGCAGATTTGGTAGCGATGGCAGAATTCTAAAAATTATGAGGTCAATTTCATGACCCAATCTCAAAGCAAAAGGGTATGTACAGATATACATGAACCCTGGTTTGGTGAAGGTAACCCTCTCCACCTCATTGAGGGCGAATATTTCGATGTTGTTCCAGTCGTAATCTTCATTCACGACAGGAATTCTAGAAAGACGAATGGAAGAAGAATATCTACTAACAGGCCATTGTCTATCATTTTTGGGATTAACAAGTTCTTTTTGAACTTGAAGGTCTGACTGGGTATTAAGTTGAAGGGTATGATGGTGCTAACGGTAGGAGGGTCGGAGTCGGCATCGACTTCTTTAGTTTTGTTCTTCTTAGGGCCACCACCGAAGAGAAGATCAGAGTTTCCGAGGATAGTGGTGTTAGAAGACATAATGGTAAGAAATTATAGTCGGGAGATTTTACTGAGAAAGATGAATTTCTCATTAGGGTTCTAAGGAAATTCGAAGAAGAAGAAGAGTTTGTAAAAGTGAAAGGCAAAATTGAATAGTAGGGGAGAAGTTTATAAGTAGCATAATTAAAGGTCATGACTACCTTGAAAATTGGCAAAAATATTTGCCAAAATGGGGTAACACGTGTTCGGATCATTAAATGCGAAGAGACGTACGTCCTTTCAAGCGTCAGAATCTATTCAGAAACTTACCCGCTAAGAAAAATATTTTATCTACTTCCCGGTAACACTAAAGTATTGACACCAAAAAGTAAGGGGATTATTTGTGTGGGGTAAAATTGGTTAGCGACAGGTAGATAAATCACGAGGTGACATGCGTATCTAGAGACAGGTAATATATGAGTCAGCAAATAGTTGACATCGGGTATAAAATATGAGTTCGGTGCTGTGCAAATTTCGAAAGCATGGAACCGGTAACAAAGATTTGAAAGAAGACATTGGTTGAAAAAAATAACATTCAATGAGCAGTCGTTACAAAGAATCTCTCTATTAATAGCAACCGTTATGCAGCCATCAATGACGATTTTATTCTCATTTAAGAGGAGCTTGATTTGAGAATCTTGTCTCCCTAAATAGAGCTATAAATAGGAGAATTAGTATCCATTGTATACACAAAAAATAATCTGTACACAATGTCTATAATTTGCTCTCATATTATAAAACTACTTACTTTTTTTTGTTCTTAATATTGTTCATATTATTGCTTCTGGAGAGGCTCATCATACAACCAGGCTTGTATTTCTTTTGAGGTATTTTCATAATCTTGATTTTATTCTTATTTATTTTATATTTTTGGATCAAGTTAATTCAGGTGTCTATAAGGCCTCATTTGTTTTTTTAAGATTAAGACGCCTGAATCTGAATACACATGTGAATATCAAGATGTGTATTAAGATTAAGACATCTGAATCTGAATACACATCTGAATATATTAAGATGTGTATTAAGATCTTAATGGAAATAATTAAGACTGTTTGATTTTTAACATATGAATGTATAAAATTTATCTTTATTTGAGAATTAGTAAACATAAAATTCAAATGAAATACTAACTAATCTAATATTCTATGAATAAAATATATAATTTTTTAAAATATGATAGTTGTTGGTGGTGATGGCTAACGGGTGAATGCCGACTAGAGGCGGTAGTTGGTAGTAGTTTCGGTTGATGATGGTGGTTCATGCTAGTAGCTAGTAGTGATTGGTAGTGGTGGCGATTATGATTGAGGATAGCGGTAGTGGGTGGTTATAGTTAATAATGGCGGGTGGTGGTAGTAGTTGTGACTGAGATATGGTGGTGGGTGGGTGGTGGTAGTTATATATGATGGGCAGTGCCGGCTGTGGTTGTTGATGGTGATGCCGCTAAAGTCACACCTGACAGAGTACAGCGAGAACCTTCGGCGAGGCCCTGCCACTGTGCGGGCCGGCCGACTGCGGTCGTGACCGGAATCCGCTCGCACGGGCCGGGGTAGTCAGTTGTGGTAGTTGAGGTGGATGAATGTTGATTATAGGTGAGAATGATGGTGGTAGGAGTGGTGGGATAGTAAGTGGTGATGGTCGATAATGGTGGTGGCTATGATTGAGGATGATGGTGACGTGGTGGTGGTGGAGGTGGTGGGGGTGGCGGTGGCGGTGGCGTTGAGTATGGTGTGGTGGCATGGTGGTAGTTGATAATGGTAGGCGGTGGCGGCAGTTAATAATAAAAATGTGATAGCATCTTAATGAAATTAAGTCTCTATTATAGATCTTAATCATACAGACCTATTCAAACCCATTAAGTGGCTGTGAAGTGCAAAAAAACAAACACACTTAATGATTAAGATCTGAATAATTAAGATTCAGACTTTAAAAACAAACGCACTTAATATCTGAGATCTAATAATTAAGATTCATACATCCATTAAGTGCAAACAAACGAAGCCTAAATCACGTTACAAATTTAACTTTACCGTTTTACGGGTAAACAAGTACTGCGTCAACTCTCAACTAAATCTATATAAGTTCCTCTTCTGAACCCGAAATTCTCATACCTTGAAACATCACCACTCTACACTAGTTTTCAGCGAAATGCCTTGTGCTATTTCCTATACTTGCTGACAGCAACAATGTCAAAGTCCGTCCTTGAGCTATATCAAGCAGTGTTTTAAAAGGTATTTTCGGGGTGAGATCCGGGGTGAGTCCTGGGGCGAGGCGCACCAAAAATATCCCGAGGCGATTGTGGGGAGCGAAAGTCTCGAGAGGCATACGCCCAGCAATTCGAGTTGTATGCCCGGGCGTTGAGGCGCATTTTTGTAGTGAGGCGTAAGCCCCAGAGACTTTTTTAAATTAAAATAAAATTTGCTGAATAGGTCTTTCATATAATACTCAAAATCTCAAAAGTCAGCTTGTAATTACTCAAAATTTTTATAAATGAACTGAAATATTAAATTTAAAAGTCAAGATCTTTTTTATTGATTGAAAACAATAAAGAAAATAAGTAAAGAAAAAGAAAGGTGAACAAGAAGGGAATAAGCTCTCAAGCCTCGGAGGAGAGCAATCTCTTGTGGAAAAAAGCAGAGACCTAGCCCCTGCTTTATTTAAACAGCTAAGATAAAGTCTAAGACCGTCTCTTCTTTTCCACATCCTCATTCCTCCTTCTTTCCGGATACTTAAGTTTCTAATGCTACGAAACCAGCTTTCCCAATCAATCAATTAAAATTAATGTGTAGGAACCTGCCCTCATCGAACTGAATGTCTACCCTTCCCGCCTAATTTATGGTCTTTCGCATTCCTTTATATTGTCTGCTACTCTGCTACTATCTTCCAAAAGCAACGAATAGTCATTTTTTTCAAATACAAAGAGAATTTCATTTTCCTTCATAGCAACAAGTTCAAAGTTCAAATTGCAGGTTAGTCATCCTTTTTATTCCTCCATGTAGAAAACTTTATTCTTTTCAACTCAAGTTACTTGTGTTTGTAAGTAGCGCATAATAGATTGTTTTGACTAATTTTTGTGGGGATGGAGCACATCTATCCATATTTTTCACATATTTATAGTTTTCTTCAATTCTTATGCAATTTTACTTATTTATAAATATTTATTATAATTATATTATTTTATGAAATATTAAAAATTAAACCCCATGGGGCTTACGCCTCGTGCCTCGGGGCTTATGCCTCGCTAAGGCATATGTAAAACGTCTCGCCTTACGCCCATGCCTTTTAAACACTGATATCAAGACCCATCCCGAGTAGCAATAAATTTGACAAAGATTATCTTCCATTTTTAAAGTTCAAACTGCTGCGGAGAAGATTAGTTGTTTTTCTTTTTCAGTTCTTAAATTAAAGTTATTCTAGTAAGTGTGAATTGGTGTTGTGATTCTCTTAAGTTATATTTAATAAAATAAAATTCAATATAAAGTTGAGAATTTCTTGTGATACTTGTTTCAATTTAATTCTTTAGATGAATATTTATAAAATAAAATTATGACTAATTGATGTATGATATATTCAAAAAATCAAAAAGTACTTGGACCCATTCACAGGAAGGGCTTCTACAAAGCCCATATTCAAATTTAATGGGCTAGATTAGGAAAACCAAACAAATTTGGCCCAAATTGAAATGCTTCCTGCCTAATTCTTTCTTCCTAAACCCTCCTCTGTCGCAAACCTTGCTCCCTCCCTCTCTTTCTACTGCAAACATTAAGTTCTACCATCAACGCCGATATCATTATTCCTGGTTATTGGTAAGCACTTACAAATTAACGTATATTTCATTTGCTTCTCTTGATAACACCTCAAATTTGTTATGTTATACTGATTTGTGAAAATAATCAAATTTCTACAGCTTTGAAGTGACTTGAGTAAAAACAATGGCGGATGTGGTACAATACAAGATGGAGCGAATGCTCCCTGAACTAGACGACCTTGAACGTCGCGGCTTATTCAGCCGCCATGAAATAGCAGAAATAGTTAAACAGCGACGTAAATTCGAGTACAGGCTAAAGAGACCTAGTCCGTTAAAGCAGGATTTTGTTGCTTATATTGATTATGAGAAAAGCCTAGATGCTCTTCGACTTCTACGTAAGAAAGCTCAGATGAAGAAAACGGGCGATAGGAAGGTGAAGAAATCGGTTTCGGATTATGCTGGAGTTTCTAGGATTATTGAGATTTATCGGCTTGCGACTAGTAGGTTTAAGGGAGACATAGAGCTTTGGTTTCAGTATTTGGAGTTCTGTAGGGAGCGAAGGAATGGTCGAATGAAGAAGGTACGTTTTACATTTTGCGAAAACCTGCTTATGTTGAAGCTCAAGTTTAGTGTTGCTTTTTATTGTATTGGCATGGGATGAGTTTAAATGGTCAGTGAGGATTCATTAACTTATTTGGGACTGAGGTGAAGTTGTTGTATCCCTGAACTAGTTATTGTACCACAAGCGAGACGTTTAGAGAACTCAAAATTTAAATGATAATTCTTTACTATTTGAGTGTTACTCTTTCATTTTTACTCCATTTTTTTTTAAAAAAAAGAAACCTTTTTATATTCAGAAACAATTTAACGATTTATAGTCACTCAAATATCTTCGTTTTGTGTTAGACGGCAAGCTTCACAACATCACATAAATTAGGGGAGGTAGTAATTCCTTTCTATTGGAATGATATAACAACGTATTTGGAATTGAGATACAGTTGATTGATTCTTGAGGACATTTGAATCTTATTGGGGAGCAAACAACTTCTAAAACATTAAAAATAAAGAACATTAGATGAGATAACGAGGGAAGGCCCGGGGTTCTTGGGGGGGGGGGGGGGGATAATTTTGCTTTTATTACTGTTGAAATGTCAATGTCATTGATAAGATAAAGTTCCATTTATCAAGCATTGAGGGCATCCAGAATATAATTAGCTTTACACCTTGTGCAAACTGTTGAGTTCGATGAACTTATTGTTCTATATAAAAGGTCCAAAGCTGCAGGCTTTATGGCAGTCCAAGACACCTTTATATAATTTCTAAAGTTGGTTAACTAAGTCTATTCTGTGGTCAAGTTTCTATTTTTCAATTCATACTTTTTCTTTGGATTTGACAAACAATTTATATTTCTCATTCCTTGGTTCTCTTCCCTGTATATATGCCCTTGCATATGATCATTTGCAACATGGTCAAATAGAGGAATCTGTCTGATTTAGATGTTCCTCCTATATTTATGAATTCCGTTTGCCCAGAATCATCCTCAAATTTGATAGGTTGTCTTTTTAAATGGAAAAGAGATTCGAGATTGTTCTTGGCATTAAGGCTTATCCGGATTCTTTTGATATTAAAACATGCTAGAGTCTAACATGGTAACATGGTGGTGAAGAAAGGTGAAAAAATGAGCTGGAATAGCTAATCAATGCTTTTTACTAGATGCTAGATATAGATTTTAATCAGACTACTTTTTTGCCAATTGTTCAAGTAGGATTTGGAGCATGAGGGAGTCTTAACTTTGACGACATTCTGTGTCAAATCATTAAATGTTGAGAATGATGTGAAATTGTGCTTTTGAGTGTCTTATGTTCTCATTCATATTGTTCTTCAATAGGCCCTGGCGCAGGCAATTAGGTTTCACCCTAAGGTGCCTGGAGTTTGGATATATGCTGCAGCTTGGGAATTTGACAACAACTTAAATGCTGCTGCTGCTCGTGCCCTGATGCATAGTGGCTTGAGAGCATGTCCAACTTCTGAGGATCTGTGGGTAGAATATCTACGGATGGAGCTTACATACCTAAATAAATTAAAGGCTCGCAAAGTCGTGCTGGGAGAAGATGAGGGAACACTGGCTCGTTCTGGTAAAAATGCTAAAGATGAACAGTGGAGAGATGAGAACAAGGAGTTATTTATGGCCCTTGATGATAAAAGAGAGGATGGCAAATTATCTAACCTTCACGAAGGAGACCCGAAGGAAAAAGTAGATTTATTTAGGGAACAAGGTTTAAGTGTTCTTCGGACAGTTTACAGTGGTTCTATTAAAGCCCTCCCTTCCAGTTTCAGTTTAAGAACACGGTTTCTTGAGATACTTGCAGCAACAGATTTAGCTCATTCAGAAGATATGCGAAATGAGATACTTGCTGATATGAAACGGGACTTTTCAGAAGAACCAAAATATTGGGATTGGCTTGCAAGACAGGAAGTGATTGATCTTAGTAATCCAGAGAGTACCGAAGCAATGACAGCTGATCAGTTAAGCACAGCAATTCAGGTAACTCATAACCTTAGTTGCTCCACACATGTTCAATTTTAATGTTGTAATCCATTGCCTTAAATTGCCTGTCTAATGTGATAGTTTGATTTGTCATGTCTAAGATCATATAAAAGGACATGTTATTTGCCAGCAACTTACGTTTGCTATTTGAAAATGAAGGTTCTTAATTCGTGAATAAATCCTCAGTCTTGTTTGCTCCACTTCCTGTTCCTCAGTCTAAGAAAAAAGGTGGCATAAATTCTGGAATTACCCTTCTGAGTATCCATCTTCTGGTGTGGTTGGAGATTGTTCCTTCATGTGCAACAGTGCATGCTACTTGAACTTACTATCGAGGACAATTTTATACATGCTAGTTGAACTTACTATCGAGGACAATTTTATACTTTTCCTTGACTAAGTCAGATGACATCTGCCAAAAGTCTTTGGTTTTACATGAAACTTGAAAATAATCCAAGGCCTGTGCTTTACTGTTCAATATCTTCCTTTCGTTTAGTTTTATGATTTGATTCACTCTTGTAGTTCACTAGTAAACCACAATTTTTTGGAATATCCTGTATAACTTTCTTATTTCACTAGCAGGTGCAGGCAGTTGTATGTTCTTGAGTAGCAAACTCAGATACTCTTTCTTGTGGGTTTTGGGGTGGGGAGGGGGGTTGTTTGGAGAATTCATTGTCTGCAATTCTCTTTTTTATGCTGTATAGTTGTCCTCTACTGACAAAATTACACGCATCAATTTCTGTAGGTTTATGAGGAGGGTTTAAAGTTTGTGCCTTCAGCCTCAATGTTTGATTGTTATGTGAAGTTCTTGATGGATGTCATTCATTTTAGAAATCAGAGCAGTCAATCTTCTGAGCACTTCGGTGCATCTAGTCATGCTATAGATCCTACTTCGCATCTCCTGGTAGTATTTGAAAAGGCTGAAACCATGGGGTGCATCACAGAGGATCTTGCTTGTCAGCATGTTTCTTTTCTATTGCAACTTGGGAAAGTAGATGAAGCTAAGACTTTGGCGGAGAAATTGTGTTCTGGAAAATTTTCAGAAGCAGTGCAGCTATGGGCTTTACGGCTGTCAGTGGAAATGAGACTTATCCAGAAGAGCTGCACTCCAAATAAGGCAGCTCTGTCTTCTGTCTTTGAACTCATGAGAAATGTTTTAGTGAAAGTTCCCGTATCAGAGGCAGAAACTATATGGCTTATGGTAGGCCAAAGCAAAAACCATCCTTGTTCAGAGTCTTTGTCATGCATTATAAGATGATGATAGAAACTTTATTGCTCTTTTTGTCTTAGCTGTGATATATGATCTTGCTTTCTGATAGCACATATCAATATTTCTTCTGCTACTTGAATAGATTCCTTTTGCAAGCATCGAGGGCTTCATATGATAATGCATATAAGATACAAGTTTGAGCAGTGCTTTTATCTCGGGAGATTCCAATTAGTTCAGTGCAGTTACATTGTTGAGCATGTTAGAGATGTATCAGTGGATGACACATGCACATGGCTACGCTGTTTCACTGTCGTTTGTGTTCTGTTTTTCTTTTTGTATTTGTTTTTTACTTTGTTGGCATAGGAAGCATTAATTGAGGGCGTCATGTGATATTACATACAGAATGCAAGTTTGAGCTGTGTTTATATGTTGGCAGATTTCATTGAATTCAGTGCATGTTACATTGTTGACCATGTTAAAATGTATAAGTAAATGACGCATGCACATGGCTACAAGTTTAACTGTTGTTTTATTCTTTTTTGGCATAGAGTAGCAGCATTCATAGGAAGTGCAGGATTTGTCCTTGTCGATGTGGAGACTTAAACAAATATTACCCAAAAGAAAACACTAATTTCTTTTCCAGTAGTTGTTAGGATGGGAATTGGGAGCTCTAACTGATGAAAAAAAGGATGGTAGCTCTAGGAGCTCGTTCCATGGTATTTGATCAAGCAACAGACTTTCTTACTTATTTCTTTTCTGAGGGCAAAACTATCATTTTTTTTCCGAGTAATGTTATTACATGCCATTCTGTTTGATTTCCTTCTGTGCCTTAATTTTACTAGTTCTGAAAGAGTGGGATATATATGAGCTTGAACTTCTTAGATCCATTTACTCCTGTAAAAAGCTTCTTTATGATCCATTTACATTACATATTATGCAGGCGTTCAAATATTTCTCCACTCATAAACAGTTGTTTGACAAGTTAGTCGAGACTTCTATGACTTTACTGGCCAAAGATGGTGGAAGTGATGATGGATTTTCCCTCTCTTCTGCCATCGTCAATTTTGTACTGCAAAGGGATGGACTTGGGAGTGCTAGAGAGTTATATAAGAGGTATGTTACTGCTGATTGATTATTGTCATGTATATATAGTGCAAACATCTATGTTTGATAAACTAGTCTGTTATGGTGAAATGTGTTCTTTTATGTTAACTTGAGAATAGACTTGTTTAAAAATGTGGAAGAAAATGTGCAGACATCTATCTCTAACCCCTCTTTTTCAGTTTTGGGGAATAAAGTACAAAATGAACCCACTTCCGACTGGATCACTATATGAATCAATCACGGTTCTTCCCTATTGTATTAGCTAATCAGTTGTTTTCAAAAGATGGTTTAGGTAATTGTTACCATGTTAGTTCGATTTCTTTTTAGTACCGAAAAGGTTAACCTGGTTCCTCCTTGGTACAAAAAACTCAAACTTGATATTGGGTTCTTCAAGGGACTTCCAGATGTTGGAGAGTTAAAAGGGTTTTCTCCAGTCTTTTCACTTTGTTATTCAATATTACCTAATCAAAACTTCTCCCCATGTATGAGATCAATTTTAGAGGTACTGAGATGCTAGATGATATTTCATTTGTTCTTTAAACAGCATTAATGGTATATGTTCAAGACTGATGTTTGACAACCTTGTGCAGATTTCTTGCTTTACCGCATCCAGGACTTTCTTTATATAGAAATTGCATTGAGCTGGAATTGAACCTTGCATCTAGTGGAGATAAGATTAGTCTCGGAAATGCCCGGAAATTGTATGATACTGCGCTTACAACTTATGATCAAGATACTGGATTGTGGCGAGACTATTATCATATGGAAGTTCAGGTAAGTGCTGTTTCCTTCTCCTTCTCCTTCTCCTCCTTTTGCGAGCCCGATACTTTTCTCATTAAACAAATAAAGGAAAAAGGTTTAGAGATATGCTGGAATTAGAGGAAAAAGGTGTACGCTGTTTTAACTCCGACTATAAACTTAAAATGAACAAATACAAGTGTCTTCTCTCTTGCAATTTAAGCTTTTAAATGAGGGATTCGCAGATCTTGATCTAATTATTGATATATGCTTTTACTAATAGTAACGTATTTATTTATTATGGGACAGAAAGGTTGTATGTACTGCTATTTACTATGTTGTCAAGTTGTGAAGATTTATGTTACTCTTGGACTATGGATAAATGAGTAAGCATTTAGTGCTGATCCTTTCTGAAATACTGCTCAGATGGGAACATCAGAAACTGCAGCAGCCGTTCACTGGCGAGCACGGAAAACACTCAAGACGAATATTTCCCTTCTACCCTCACAGTGAGGGCCTCACTGGATATGTGATCAATCTCTGAATGTATGGATGTAATCAAATTTGACTTGGGAATACTTTGGGCAAGTAACATAACCAAAGTTCTCTCCCGAGGGCTGGCTAATGTGAGTTCCTAGACGGTGCACCGTTCATAGATCATTGAGCTGTGATTATTGAATAGCCCATCTTGATCTACATCACAACTTGGCAGTTTTGGTTCTCTTTCAATACTTGTGATCTTAGCGTGCTGAGCCACCACCAAAGGAACCTAACTATATCTTTGGCAAGACCTTGCAGCAACTGTGGTAAAAAGCTTGAAGGAGAGCTCGAATGTCGTTTACGTTTCAATTCTTTTCCCCCTCATGTTACTTGCGCGCCGAGATTTTGTAGACAAATACCTTTGGCTTTGTGTCAAGCAGACATTACCGTACCATTTTTTTTAATCAAGAAAGCCTTTGTTAACAGGACCTGAAGATATATATCTTGCTGAGTTTTGTTGTGTACTCCGCGGACCAGTTCTTGGAACCGGCATTCTGTTCCTAAACAAAGACAACGTTTTACTAAAGTTGTTCCTCAACAAACATATGAAACGATATTGACAGGACTTGAGAGTAGCAAAGAGGTATTTAATTTATTCTACTTTAGACTACGGACAACAAGTGGGCGAGGAAGAGTGCAAATTCTTTTGTGTAGTTCAAATACTCTAGAATTCTTGCTTTTATGATTGTAAACGCATGCCGCGCGTTTGATCAAAATATGGTACAAGTTAAAAAAAATAAGTAAAATATTTGAGGTTGAAATGGAGTAGTTGAAAAATCAATTATGTTTGTACATGATCTTTACCGAGATTTTTTTTTGGGTTAACGTAACATTAATTTGAAATATTTCTCAACGTATCATGTTCAGTATTTACAAATATTGATAGGCAAACCAATATATGCACATGCTAAAGTTAAAAAATATTTAATAATATTTGATGCACGGGTCGAAGGTTAGGTTCACATGTAAGACAATACACATGTGGATCCAATAGCACATAGATTCTTGCTTTGGATCTTAATTAGCTCAAATGTCACTGAACCATGCAGGGCAATTTCGTTTACAAGTCCAGTCAAAGAGATTAATTTGCATTAAATCTTCCGCTAAAACTTGTGAAGTTGGATTAGCAGATGACTATATATTATCCAAAGGGAACGAAACCACAGCACTGAATCAACTGACCGATTTACTAGTCCACACTCTCTCTCTTCTTCAGGCAAAAACAGATGAATTGTAGCCACACACGAAGAGGGGTTTTACTTCTTACTTCTCACGAAATACAACTGTTAGATAATCATGTTTACTCAGTTTATATATTTTTTTCATACCCAATTTATTGTTCTAGACTTTGTCAAGTTTTGCCGATGGAAAATACTAGTAAAAGAAATCTATATCTATATCTATATCTATCTTCTATTATTAAACGAAAAGAAGTCACCATTAAAAATTTGCCAAGTGTCACGTTAAGAAAATGCCGTGTGGCAGTTTAAATAAAACATTAGTTAAGTTAGGTAAAATTAGTTTATTTTTTGAATTTGAATTCTAAAATAATAAAATATTTATATTTTTTTTAAACAAACAGTAATTTTGAAATTAAAATTATATTCTGAAACCCACACATAATATAACTCCTCCCTGCGCATCTCTGACCTAAAAAACTATACAAAGCCTGTGGAACCATCGGGAAGTTTAAGGCAGGATCTCTGGGAACGTGGGCTGTAATGTAGGATTTCAAAATATAACGGAATATCACTTCTTTTCCTCTCTAAATTCTCAAAATAGTCTGCTTTATATGCATAACTTGAACTTCTTCTGTTGGTAATTTCTAAATTCCCATTTAAGTGAGCTATGCACCCAAGATGTTTGATGATATGCAAAACTTGATTTCTTGGGTGTTAGGTTTTGATTGTTTTGAATAATTTCTTGAGTGATCGTACATGATTGCAAGATATCAAAATTGCCGCTGTACGATTAGGTCTCTTAATTTGTGCTATATTGTTATTTGTTTCTATAAGAATAAGTTTATCTATAGATACAATTCCAAAAAGGAAGACACGAACAAGGAAAGATGAGGATGGATGATATGCACAACTGCTTGTGTGACAATCTTTTCTCTTCTGAAGAGAAAGCAGAAGATGCACCTATTTTTCAGTTAAGTTTTCTACTTTCTCTTCCTCTTTCTTTTGATCGTGTGTTTATTGAGTAGTCTTAATGATAATTATTGAAGTAGACTATGCACCCAATATGTTTGATTATATGTCCGACTCATTCACCAAATGATATTTGAATAAGTACATAATGTAAAACATGTTTTAAATAAAGTTCTTCTCGCGAATGCATACTTTAAAACTGATCTTTTAGAACATTCATAGCTTTAAAATTGTACTTCGACTCACAGTGTAGTTCACTATGATTATTGCACGTAATAATTCATTCCCTTGACACATCTAGCTTTTCTCTTTTTCTTTTTTTTTTTTTATTTTCCTTTTTGTAATATGATAAAATCTGATAAGCAATTAGGCCAACCTAATCTCTAATATTTCAATTTTTGGTTCTTCTTTGATATAGAGTAAATTTTTTTTAGAGAAATGAGCTTCGACACTTCCATAACTGCTGCTTCTCGATGAAGAATTAAACTAGAAGTAACTGTCTTTTCCCTTTTTTTGTTAATGATACTTTGGCAGATTACTAGCTCTTTTTAATTGAAAATTTTGCAGGTTTGATTTTAGTATCTTAGAGCTCAAGCATTTAGAACTACATTTGATAAAGTGAATTTATACAAATGTAAACTAATTTCCTTACAAAAACTTATGCTTAAATTTTCTATTTCTTTTTCAAGGAGCTTGATATAGTATTCTGTTGGAGCTGCATGTGAACTTTCATGGCATTTTGATCATATTATAGTTCAGCTCGGGGGAGTTTTTTTTTTGTTGCTTTATGAATGTTTACTTGATTTTTATCATCTTTTGAGCTACTTGTGGGAATTACTAAGGCTAACGATTGTGGCGAATTCAACATATCGACGCTACGAGTTTTGAATATGTTGGTCACCAAACTCAAAGGTTATCAACAAAAAATCGAGAGAGTGAGGAATGATGCGTTCACTTTGGGCTTCAGGTTATTAAGAGCGATATTGTTGGATCACATCTTCTGGATTCTGCCTATCACTCTACGAAGGTAAGGCAAGAGGGGTGATGTAACGACCCGACCGGTCGTTTTGAGCCCTAGCACACCGTTCAGCAGTTCGAGGCCATGAGCAGCTTCAATTCAGGTATTATGACTTGTACGCGTGGTCGGAATTAAATTTCGGGAAGTGCGGAGTTGACTTGGAAAGGAAATTCTCATTTCAAAAGTTTTAAGTTGAAAGAATTAGCTAAGATCGGATTTTTGAGTAAACGACCTCGGAATCAGGATTCGCAGGTTCCAGCAGGTTCGTATGATGATTTCGGACTCGGCGTATGTTCGGGTCGGGTTTTGGATGATCCGGGAGCGTTTTGGCGCCTAGTGTGAAAGTTAGCATTTTGGAAGAAATTTTATAAGTTTGGGTTGAAGTGCATTTCAGTGTTATCGATATCTGTTTGAGATTCCGAGTCAGGGAGTAGCTCCGTATGGTGATTCTGGAGTTGGGAGCGCGATCGGAAGTGAATTTTGGAGGTCCGTGGGTCATTTTGGAGTCATTTGGCTAAAGATAGAAATTTGAAGGTTTTTGAGAAGTTTGACCGGAAGTGAACTTTTTGATATCGGGGTCGGAGTCCGATTCCGGAAGTTGGAGTAGGTCCGTAATGTCGAATATGACTTGGGTGCAAAATTTGAAGTCAATCGGACGTGATTTGATAGGTTTAAGCATTGAAAGTAGAAGTTTGAAATTCTAAAGTTCATAAAGCTTAGATTGGAGGTCGATTCGTGATTTTAGCGTTGTTTGATATGATTTGAGGCCTCGAGCAAGTCCATAAGGTGTTTTGGGACTGGTTGGCATGATTGGTTGGGGTCCCGGGGGCCTCGGGTGGATTCCGGGTGGTTAACGGATCGAAATTGGAATTTTGGAGATAGCTGAAGGGGTCTGGTTGCTGGTATAACCGCTTCTGCGGAGGATTTACCGCAGAAGCGGCCCCGTAGAAGCGAGGAAGGGAACCGCAGAAGCGGTTAGACGCGAAGAGAGCTGGGACCGCAGATGCGGTCGTTTTGCCGCAGATGCGGGACCGCATCAGCGTTAGAAAGGTCGTAGAAGCGGAAAAAGGAGGCCTGGAGGAAACCGCAGAAGCGGAAGGTTGGCCCGCACCTGCGGAACCGCAGAAGCGGTCATAGGACCGCAGGTGCGGAAAGTGCTGGACGCAGTAGTTCTTTTAAAAATCGGGGGTTTGGTCATTTGCCCCTATTTTTCATTTGGTGTGGGCGATTTTGGAGAGCTGTAAGTGGAATTTTTCATCATCAACGATAAAGTAAGCTAATCCCATCCATCTTGAGTTAAATACATCGATTATGTATGGATTTTAGCATGTAAATTGGTAGAAATTTGGGGTTTGGATAGAAAGACCTCGAAATTTATATTCTTGGAATTTGGCCAAGATTTTGGGTATGGAATTTAGAGAAAATTATATATTTGAGTTTGTGAGGCTATGGGTAAACTTATTCTTCGAAAATTTTGGAAATCCGGGCACGTGGGCCCGATAGCGTTTTTGTCAACTTTCCGATCGGGGTTAGAAATTGTTATAAATTGGATTAATACGAGTAGTTTATCGTATATTAATGAATTTGCATAATCATTGACTAGTTTTGGGAGTATTTAGCATTGATTCAAGTCTTCAGAAAGGCGTGGAATGCCGGTTATGGATCTTCGGAGCGAGGTGAGTCTCCTTTCTAACCTTGTGAGAGGGAATTGTCCCCATAGGTGAATTAATTGGTTATGTGCTCCTATTTGTGGGGGCTACGTACGCACGAGGTGACGAGAGTCCGTGCGTAGCTACTATCATGTTATTGTCCGGGTAGTCTAGGACCCAAAGGCATGCTGTACTTGGAATACTTGTAATGTTATTGACAGTATGAATTGCCGAAATCCTATCGAATTGGTAAATAAATTTCTAAGAGAATTTAACTTTATCCCTTAAATCATTAAAAGAGAATTGACTTCTAATGGGATAAATATTCCCCGTAAAATTTTTAATTTGCTGTTGAGCATGTGTTTCTATGTGTACCTGCGTCGCATGTATGCTACGCGAGCAGGGTGATTGTTTATTTAAATTTGACCGCGTCGCATGTATGATTCGCGAGCGGGGTAATAGATGTATCTATGGTTTGGGCCGCTGGACCCTCGGCAGTGCACATTTTAAATATTGTTGGATCGGGCCGTACGACCTCGACATGAGTTGCGCATGCTTGTATTGCTTGCTTTGATATTTGTTGATACTAATATCTGCTTTCCCGACTTGAGATAATTGTTAATTAAATGGATTATGAATCCGGAG